CCGCTCACGCACGTGTCCTCGCCGCCCGCACACGTGTCCCCGCACACGCGCACGCTCCCCCCGCGCTGCCCGCTGCCCCGCAGGCATCCAGGCACTCAGCTGCTGGCTCCCACCACGGGGACATGGGGACAAGGATGGGGACAAGCCTGCAGTGGGGCAGGGACCAGTGGTGGGGGTGAATGAGGCCCCCCAGCCCTGGTGCCTGCCTGGCCCTGGTGGCCACGATGGCCATGCCACCTCGGTGCCCATGTAGCTGGCGTGTTCCCAGTGCCTGTGTCACTTTGCCCTGGTGCCTGTGTGTTCCCTGTGTGTTCCTGTGGTGCCCATGTCCCCATGGCACACAGCCACGGTACTTGCATGTTCCCGTACCACCTTAGTCATGCCAATGTCACCTTAGTACACGATTCTGGTGCCCACGAGTCTTGTGCCACCTTGGTGCGAGTGTGGTCCTGGTGCTTGTGCCACCTCGCTGTCCTTACGGGCCCCAGTGCTTGCACCACCCTGGTGCACGGCCCTGGTGCCCATGTCACCTTGGTGCATGGCTCCAGTGACCCACCTGATCCCCTGTGCCCGTGCCACCCCGTGCCCCTCGTGCCAGCCCGTCGGTAAGGCACCTCGACCGTCCCGGCAGTGTGCACCTACTGCAGCACCGGAGACCTGCACGCCCTGTGGCGCGCCGCCGGGCGCTTCGCCGAGGCCACCGTCCGCCTGTTTGCCGCCGAGCTGGTGCTGGTGCTGGGTGAGTGGCCCAGCACGTTGGGGACAAGCCACCACTGTCCCCACCAACGGGGACCTGCAGGCAGGGTCAGCCTGTCCTCAGGAGTGGGCAGCTGCCTGCTGGGTGCCATGGGGGTGCCATGTGCTGGGGGGGGACCCACCGCTCTGACGGCTCTGTCTTCTCCCCAGTGTATCTCCACGACCTGGGCATCGTGCACAGAGACGTGAAGGTGGGTGGCAGTGGGGCTGGGGGGGTTTAGGATGGGGTGGTGGGTCTCAAAATCCTCCGGCATGGAGAGCCCACCCCAGTACCTGTCTCATTTCAGATGGAGAACATCCTCCTGGATGAGAGAGGTAAGAGTCTGGTGGCACTGGTGGGGGGGACATCCCATCCATCCATGGGGATGCCCCCTCCGTGGTGTCCCCACTCAGTGTCTCACCCCACAGGACACCTCAAACTCACCGATTTTGGCCTCTCCCGGCACCTGCGGTGGGGCGAGAGAGCCCACACCATCTGTGGCACCCTGCAGTACATGGGTAAGGGGGCAGTGGGGGGCTGCAGTGGGGGTCACAGCCCCCCTTTAGGCACTCACCCACCCATCCCCACAGCCCCAGAGGTCCTGAGTGGGGGGCCCTACAGCCACGCAGCCGACTGGTGGTCCCTTGGAGTCCTGCTCTTCGCCCTGGCTAGTGGGGAGGTGAGGAGTGGGGGGGCAGAGAGGGGATAGGGGCACCCCGTGGAGCCCCTAAATTCACTCCCTGCCCTCTCAGTTCCCCGTGGCGCCGGCGGGGGACCATGTGGCCATGCTGGAACGGGTCAAGCAGAGCAGCTACCAGAGCCCACCCACGGTCAGCCCCGCGCTGGCCCGGCTCCTCGCCGAGGTAACCCTGCCACTGGGATTTTGGGGTCCCCACTGCCCCCCCAAGACTGGATGCTGGGGTCCCCCTCACTCACTGTCTTCCCTCCATCCCCAGCTGTTGTGCCACAACCCCCTGTACCGCCTGCGCTACCTCCACCACTTCCAGGGCCACCCCTTCTTCCGTGGGGTGGCCTTCGACGCCGACCTGCTGCAGAAGGACCCGGTGGCGGTGGCAGTGTCCCCCCGGCCCCCCGAGCAGTCCTCCCCGCCCGACCCCGCCACCTTCGCCGACTTCGACTGCGACCTCACCCCCCCCACCCCGGGCCGGCCCTGGCCTGGCTGAGCCGCCACCGCTGGGACCCCCGGGGACATCGCTCAGGGACCCCCCCCACCCCACCCCAAAACCCAGCAGTGGGTCGGACCCTGCTGGGCCGGGTCCCCCCCTCACCCCAACGCTGTACCTCTCCCCGCGGAGCAATAAACCCCAGAGCCGCGGGCACCGTTGAGGGGGC